AGTCTTTGACCTTGTGTTGTAGTATTTGAGTCATAAACATCATATATGGTCATATAGAGGTTGTATGTGCATCAAGATTGTAACTTTACGTGCTAAATGAGCTTGGAGGGACTGGATCTATGGATTAATGAACTGGATCTGACCTTTAGAGCAAGATTGAGTCAGTGCATGGCATGGACTCGCCGAGTCCGAAGAACAGACTCGGCGAGTAGCATGAATGTTGCCCGACCACACTGTGAGTGGCCTCGCCGAGTTGGGAAAGGTGGACTCAGTGAGTCAAGGGGGAGTCAGAATGGACAGGTGGACTGAGTCTAACTGGACTCGCCGAGTTGTTCTTGAGACTCGGCGAGTTGAGTCGTGGTGGCCCCACAACTCGTGCCAGGTGGAACTCGTCGAGTTGAGGGAATGCTCGACGTGTCAAGGGAGGATTCCAGGGAAATTGGTGTACACGCCCAGACTCGCCGAGTCGCCTGGGTACTCGCCGAGTCCGGTCAAAGTTGACCGTTGACCGTTGACCAGCGTTGACCTAGATTGACTTGTTATAGTGTGGTCAACCCTAGTTGGGAAAGTGTTAATTAGAGGTGTATTGTGCTATAGGGGGACGACAGCTCGACAGGTCGAGTGATTAGCGATTTCAGGTTTACGATTTACCGAGACACGCGAGGTGAGTCTTCTCACTATACTTTACCTTGAGTAGGTAACCAGAGTTATGTGATAGAGTATTTGTATGCTATGTATGTTATGTGTTGTACTGCATTACTTCTATGTGTTTGATGATGTGCATGTTTACAGAGTTAGAACCGGAAGGCTCACAGAGTTAGAACCTGAGGGTTCACAGAGTTTGGGTGCACGGACCCACAGAGTTATAGCCTCGAGTGGCTAATATGTGTTATATGTAGTATTTTGGGGAACTCACTAAGCCTTGTGCTTACAGTGTTGATGTTATTGTTTCAGGTACTAGTGACGATCGCGGGAAGGCGCCGGCTTGATCCGTACACACACACATTCGGAGCTTGATATCATGATCTTGGGATTTTGTATTGTCTTGTTTGGATAATTAAAATGGTTGTTTAATGAATATCAATGGAATTATGTTTTATAAAAATTGAAGAAAATTTGTTTGAAAATTTTCGGTGTTACAATTTTTTTGTTTGTTTGCAGGTTCTACTCCTCATAACTTTATTAATTATTTTTTTATTAAGAGATGCGAGATTTCTCTACGGAAATAGGTTGACAAATATTATTTGGGATACTAAATAACTTCATGTTTAGAAGTTTGTATACATCATTATGAAATACTTGTTTTTAGTAGTTTTGATTAATATAAATATGTATTTTATCCTATATTTTTTGAAATATAATTCACAAACATATATTACGATACATTCAAACAAAATAAACATTAGAAATAACATAATAACATTACATAAAACATTTCAAATAAAAGATGAACGACTAACAAACATTACATAGAACATTACGAATAAAAGATATATGACTAACAAACATTACATAAAACATTACGAATAAAAGAGTCGTCTACATGAAAAATGGTTTATTTTTAACCAGATTTCAAACGTCTGTATACTCGAAATCAGTTTCATCAAACTGACACAAGTAATATCCGTTCACGTATTCAAGAAGTTCTTCATCGTCAGCATTAAAGCATCGCATTTTCTAATAATTGTAGCATCGATTGAACCATGTGAATTTTGTCTTTAAATCCATCCATTTACTAACAATATCGGGTTTTAGTCGTTCTTGTCCTTGTCCCACCTCATAGTTGAACAAAGCTACGAAGTGGGATCATTCATCACCAACAAGGCAATTAAGGGGAGCCATTATTGGTAGACCCTCGTAAATGATAATCCAACATCGTGTTAGGATTAACACCTCTGTTGTCGTCCATGGAGATGTACTATTTGTTAGAGCAGACGCATTAGACGGATTAGCTGCATTTGAAGCAGTTAGTACATTGGATCCCATTTTGTGATCCATTACCTCTAATTTGAACGTATAAATACATTATTTACTATATATATATATATATATATATATATATATATATATATATATATATATATATAAATAGGTAACGCGGACTGACAAAAAACTATGCAGACTGACAAGTCGGTAACGCGGACTGACAAGTCAGTAACGCAGACTGACAAACAACTCTGTGGACTGACCATTCACTCTGCAGACTGACAAACAACTATACAGACTGACAAGTCAGTAACGCGGACTAACAAGTCAATAATACGGACTGACAAACAACTCTTTGCGGAGTTGAAGGGTCTATATATTGTCCTGGATGATCGTTGGATAATACGTTCTGCAGACTGACTAACAGTTTTGTGGACTGACAAACAGCTCTGCATCCCACTCTTCCAACGCGTCACTTGTGTCCCGTGCGTCTCTAGTGACAAACACCTCTGACAAATAGGTTACGCGGACTAAAAAATAAGTTACGCGTACTGACAAGTCATTTACGCTGACTGACAAGTAAGTTCTGCGGAATAATGTATATTGATTCCTTTTAAATTGGACAAGCATTTTCATTTTTACAAGGTGTCGAAAGTTGTAAAAATGAGTTCAGTCAATCAAGTATTAAGAAAAAGTTTCTCCAACCTACCAACTTTTTTCCATAATCTGCAAAGAACCAATCCTAACACCTTCACGTACATTATGAAAGATCAGTACAATCGTTTCCAAATTCGTTTTATGGCATTGGGATGCGTGGTATGTAATCCCTTATAGTAAATAAATATTTACTTATTTGAAGTTGTTATATGGATAATATTCTTATCTTGACTTGCAGATTCGTACGTTTCTCACGTCTATGATACCAATCATATTCGTTGGTCAAGTACCTCTAATTTGGGAGTATGTAACATCCATGTACATTGCGGTTACTTTAGATGGAAATCATAAACCCCTTCTCATAGCGTTTTCTTAGAGAACCATAAACTATAACAATTCATGGTTATGGTTCATGAGGAGGCTTAAAGAATGTTTAAGTGACAATACGGAAGTTGGTTTTATAAGCCATATGTCTGATTCCGTAGACTTTTCAGTTCAAAGAGTCTACCCTGATTCATATTATCGTTATTGTTGTAAAAATATAGCCGAGAAAATACGCGCTTCTAGTCGTAAAGCAGTTGCTCTGGAAAGACTTGTAAATCGTATAATACGTCTGATTTTTATGCATGTTTGAATAACTTACAAAATAAGGTTAACGGGAATGATCTTCATTGGCTTGACAATATTCCCATTGCAAAATGGGTTCTCGCTTTTTTTTCCTCGAGTACGTTTCAATTTTAAATTCATTGACATTTCCGATGTTGTCAATTGGTTAAGAACAAACATGCATGAGTTTCCAAAAACAACAATCATTGAAATGGTCCATGACTCGATGCAAGCAATGTATCTTCAACGTGCTGCGTTTGGAGGTAATTATAAGTTGACATCACTCAAATGGTCAATTGATATATTATTATACGTTATGACATCATAATTTTTGTTTTTTCATTCAGCGCATTTCACAGGGGATTTTCATGGTCTTCTAACCCCTTATGCACTTAAAGTGATTTATAAAAGATTTATCCACTCGGATGGTTGTAGGATTAGGCATATTGTTGGCGACATATATGAAGTGAGTAAGTATTCAACAACCGAATATGTGCAATTAGACCGTGGTATTTGTAGTTGCGGTAAATGGCAAATATGCGTTATACCTTGTGAGCATGCTATAGCTTCACTACAAAGGATTGAAATTGCAAAAATCTAGCAAATGGTAAATTTAAAGTTAAGTATCGCGGTGTATCGAAATGGTTATCAAACTTACACGGTCAATCCTATTCCAACCATTAGGCATTGGGAAATACCAGTTGAAAGTGTTGTGGTTTTACCTCCACGACAAATTAATTGTACTATATTGTATGGATCTCAACGAATATTAGTTTGTATTCAGTTCCATGTTAACCGTAGTTGTAATGGTCTGTTGGCGTTGTTTAGTTTTTAATAAAAAAATGTTTACCTTTAAATAAATAATTGTATTCCTATAATTGTAATGTATGGATGACAACGACTAGACAAACAACTCTACGGACGGACAAACAGTTCTGCGGACTGAAAAACAATATTGCGGACTGAAAAACAGCCATGCGGACTGACAAAAAGCTCTACGAATTGACAACAGCTCTCTGCGGAGTTGAAGGGACTATATATATTCATGGATGGTCGTTGCATTTTTGGTATAGAGTTATAATTTTTTTTAAAAAAATTTAAAATGAGTTCATCTTCAAGTTTGTATATTTGCTCGTGCAACGAAGTCGATTGTTTCTATTGTGATCCGATTGACCCTTTTTTTGCCCCATCATCAAATTTAAGAGAGTCGTATATTTCTGAGGATACTTTGCAACAACTACAATGGGCTGAAGAACAAAAAAAAGATAAAGAGTCATCTCGAGCTCTCACTGAACGTCGTGACCTCATTGCAGCGGAGTGCAAAGAGGTTGAGGAAGGGATGACGATTACTAAAAAAATCAAAGATCAAGAGGAATGGATAAAAAACTAAGAAGAATATCAAACTGTCTGAAAAATGGTTTGCTGACAAGGATGCAGAAATGATAGAACTTGGGAGGCAAAAGGACAGTATTGAAGATAAAATAAGAATTAAGGACTACTACATAACAATGGATAAAGAAAAGTATCATTTGTAATTCCCTTAAGTTAATTACCGTTGTTGTACGTTTACTATATGTTTCTGGTTTGTTGAATGTATTATCTTCGAGTTTTAGTTATTATTCCACTAGTAATGATGCACTAATATAATCATAATATTACCCATCATCTTTAAAATAAACACACCATTTCAAAGTACACAAATTAATTTCCTCTAAAACAAAACATAAATAATTATAAATACAACATCAATCATTCAAATCAAACATTGAACAATAGTCTTCTCTTTGCGTCCCAATCGTCCAGCGCGTCTCTTATGTCCCGTGCGTCTCTAGCGTCTCCTGAGTCCCTTGTGTCCCTTTCCCTTTCCCTTTTGTGTTACTACCTGATGTCGCACTATTTTTTTCTAGCCTTTTTTGATTCATTGGGACCAATGTCGGACAAGTCATTGCATTATGTGTTGTACTATCACATCTACGATACCTTCTTACTATAGGTTCCTCACCTTGTGACGGGATATGATTTCTGTTTCTCGGTCTACCAGCTTGACGTGTATCCATTATTGGGGGTTTAACAACCATCATCTCAGCAGAAATCTCCCAATCACACGATTTTGGAAGTGGGTAAACCGACTCCTCATACGTACTTCGATAAAGAGAGACGACGCGCAAATGCGTGTCAAGGAAGGCGCTGTCATAAAGAGAGACGACGCGCATTTACGACGCACAATTACGACGCGCGTTTACGAAACGCAATGCGTATCAAGAAAGGCTCTGTCATAAAGGAAGACGACACGCATTCGCGTGTCGTAACCTTACGACGCGTGTGTTAATGACACACAATGCGTATCAAAAAAGCCCCTGTCAAGAAAGGCCATGTCATATATGAAGATGACACACATTTTTGCGTATCGTAATTTTAAATTTAAAAAAAAATTATTTATGGATTTACTTATTTTCATATTAAATTTGCATTTTATGTCACGTAATGGAAAATAAAATACCATATACAAATAATACAATGCATTGCACGAAAGTTAATGTTATACAAATAATCATTCGAATAGTAGACAAATGTAATACTACAAATAATCATTCCAATAGTAGACAAATGTAAGATTTCAACATTTTTTATATAATTAACTAAATTATTAGCCAAATTTCCTAAAATACCAACATACTTTTCTATGAAGAGCATTAACACTATTCTTTTCCATCAAAAACTTCAAAACCTGCATAATTAATTTAATGTTTAATCAGCTACAGGTCAATAAGGTAGGTTTAAGCAAAAGAGGTTCATAGTAGTAAGATTTTACTTACCACTGTTGTTAATGACATTGAAAGAAGCAGCCCAACAAACACCCCCTCAGAAGGATTATTACTAAATGAAACCACAAACAAAGTTAAAAAGTCAAGTATTTTGTGACAACCCCGAAACCAGGGGCAAGGCTGTTTTTACCCATGGTATGACCTAATACATGATAATAAAGACTTGTTTAACAAAAAGAAAAATGATTTCTCACGTGACATCACTATTAAGAATTGATGAAAGAGGGTACTCCACACTGTATTGCCAACAAGCTTGACACCAACACCTAAAAGCTGGAAAAAACAATAACAGAAATAAAAATAAATGTAAGATTTGAGATAACAGATGCATGTGTATGAAAGAACCAATAGATGATAGAATTAGTGAAAAGGAATCATGGAAACAAGGAGTTAAAGGGTCTTTAAGCATACCATTTGAAAAAATTGGTCGATGTTGATCTTTAACATTCCCTAAAATAGGAAGAACTTGGGAAAGCACACCTTTAAGTCTTGGGGAAACATCAGAGCTTCAAATAAATGATCATAGCACCAAAAGATATTCAGTTTCAGGACTCAGTTTTGAACACATGAAAGAAGACTCATAAGGATGCCAAATAGTTGGATAGAGGACTAATCAAATTTACCACATGTCATTTCTCTTCTCTTCTCTTATGTATTATGTAATTTATTGCAAGTCTATGGATTCGAAACTTACCACCCTAGCAGCGTCATTAATGACAAACCAACCACCATAGGGACAAAAATGCTTGCAACCTGAACCACACACACACACATATATATATATATATATATATATATATATATATATATATAGTCATAATACGCATAATAAGTGAATTGTCTTTTACCAGTTTATGCAATCATCTTTCCCTATTTAACCTATTTATGCAACTTATACACCCATGTTTCATCAGATTAAACAGGTTGCTGGTAAAACATCGTATGTTTTGGTCCTACAATAAATAATACACCGGTGCATATTTTCTAATAAAGAAACAAATTTGTTGCAGAATCGGGAAGAGGCTGAATGTTGTTTCATAAATATGCATATGCATTTAATCCTTTTAAATATAAACACTCGAACCATAATTCACATGTCTACTTTTACCAATTTATTTTATGCAACATATATGCAGCTGACATGAATGAATTATACAACAAGTTAGGAGTAAAATAAGGGATGGTTGCATATTTAGTATGATAAATAAAGAGATTTGTGGCATAAGGGTGCATAAATAATAAAAAGCAAAAAGGAAGAGGAAAGTTGACTTACATAATCAGCAAATTTCTGAATTGGTGCTTTTGACATAATACATAAGAGTGGTCCCGAAGGGATAGCTGGCAGCAAAAAATCTCAGGCAAAAAAAATTCCAGGAGAAAACAGTTAGTACCTCAAAAGCAAAGGTTTTATAGGGTTAGGCATGCACCAGCAAGACATGGACTAAGATTATAAGTGATGTGAATGGGACATAGTAATTAAAGGAATTTTTAAAGGAATTTTTGTTACCATTGTTCCATGCATAGTGGTTGGGGTAGAGTGTTTTTCCATCACTGTTAACACGGAAGGGTCCAAGTTCTTCCATGGCTCCATATCCAAACAACAAGCATCCTAGCCCAATAGAATACCTTCATTAATAGTGGTTCTTACTCTAAATTTTGGTGCATTTGGATGATGATCTTTAGAATCTCCATTCTGATTCATGAATATTTTATGTGATTCAGATTCCAGTGAAGGGAAGAGAGGAGTAGCCGGGGCTGTTAAAAGCCTGAAAAAGATAACATCCAAACTTTACTAAATGTGTAAATGTGATCAGTAACATGTGCCTACAACTCTACAAGGATATAAAACCATAATTTGTACATACTGGTTGCAGAAGGCATACTGATTTTGGTAGAATTTCCTGTTCTTGATCCTGTGACATCAAATTTTTTATATAGTTATTGAAATATATGATGATAAATTCGTATACACATGGCCAGGTAAGCTACACAAATCAAAGAAATTCATTAGGGATTTCCTATACTTTTACTCCTAAATTTTAGATAATATATTACAAGATTTATTACTTAAAAGGATAAGAAAAGGTCATAAACTAATAATTTTGAAGCATTAGCAACTGAAGTAATAAAATAATCATCAAATAAATGGAATACCAAGTGACGAGTCAAATTCCTCTTCTGGGTGGTGATTTGGAGTTTATGGATCCTGCAATCTTCCACATGGACAAATCCTAAGAGAGGGGGTCTTGGATATGGTGAAACTAATGCACTTGAATCTTTAGTCACTGAATCATCAAAAAGAACAGATAAACATTTAATGGATATTATTTTCAACCAATATAAGTTTAAAGAACACTGTTTAGCTATTAAAAGATATATCCTTTTAGGTCAAGGTGATTTTGTTCAATACCTAATGGAAATCATTGAGCCAACCATTGTTGGAATAGATTGATAAGGGGTTGCTTTTGATGATACGAAGAGGCACGTGCAGTTCTTGTCAGCATCATAAGCAGAGACACCCAACAAACCATCCTAAGAAACACATTGGAGAAAAATGAATTCATAGAGTTCACAGAAAAAAAAAGTAGAATCATTGGCAAGTGGATATATATTATTACCATGCCAGCAAGTGGAGAAACATCTGTAACATCCCCAAAATGATCATTCCCATTGTCACTCATGATGGTACCGTGTGCTTGAGATATGTGGCGGCTCTTCTGAATTTTCTACGGATCTGTAAGGAGGGTCAAGGGAAATCAAATTCAGGAATCAAGAACTTGGATTCCATAAATACGAAATCCTAATTGGAAATCAGGCATTCGTTTTTCAACGAGATTTAGTCAAATATATTAATCAAGTAAAATTGTTTGGTCATAGAACCAATTATAAAAGAATTTGTTGATTTTCAATTATGGACTTGATTCAAGTAAGAATGAATCAAGAAGAGCCCTTGAATGAATTGGTCAAGCAATTAAAAACAAGATAGTATTTTAAAGATGTTAAAATTAGGTAAATTTACATCACAATGAAAAGTTCAATCCTGCAAGTTTTTAAGCAATTAATAAAAGAAACCATTTCAAGAAAGTCAAACATCTATAAAATTGTCTATTCATGGAAGATGGAACTACCAAAGAATTTGCTGATTAATTGCTTGAAGGTAACAAATTCAAGTAGATTGTAACAAAGAACCCTTGATTAGAAACGTTCAAACAATTGAAATCAAGAAAGTAATGTAAGTTTCAAGCACACACTAACTTCGACCATGGCAAATTTCAAGCAATTCAAAATAACCCACTTTGAGTAAGATCAAATTAGTAAGTTTATTCAGTGATACGACCACATATAAACCAAGATCAGATCTATAAGAACGCTCCACTGATCTACTCAAATAGTAGACATCGAAGTCAAAGGATAGTTTTTAAAAATTATTAAACAGGGCAATCTTTGATCATAATCCTTTTCATCCATGGTAAGCTATAGTAAGGTTATAAAGCATAAATAAAGAGAAATTTACCTTGCATAGAAGGTCTAGGGCAAACAAAGCCATCATTCACTAGAGAAATATTTGAAGGCATAGGAACAGCGGGCGAGTCGACTCCGAACTGCGTACCCACAAAATCGACCTCAACCGACATCTGATTCACATCTCCAGCAGTTTCAATAGCAGTCTTGAGATCAGCACTTGGAAATCCAGCAAAAACGGTGTTGTTTCCAACCGGACCCGGAAAAGTAGCAGACCCATCAGCAATTACAGCATTAGAAGCAGATACCAAGTACTCATCATGCTGAAAACCCACAAACACCCTCCATGATTTAAGCTCTTCGTCGGCGTTATTGAGGACTCTGAGGGTTGATTCGAAGCGGTAGGGTTGATTTGATGTTCCGTTTGGTGGGAGCTTGGATCCGGATGTGTAAGTGTAGGATAAGTAGACGCCGTTGCAGGAATCGGACGCTGGTAGCGGTGACGGTGGTGTTGGAGTTGGAGTTTGGTCGGCGGTAATGGTGGCGAGAAGGAGAAGTGTGGTGGTGATGAGAGAGAAGCTAGCAAATCCCAGGCTTTTAGCGATTGAGCGAGTCTCAGAAGCCCTTTTTCTTGATTGAGATGATGAAGTCGAGAGATGGAGATGAAATCGTAACCTTCGATCTTTGATTGAGAAGTTGCACAACAGTGTGAGGAGAATGAAAGATGCGTGAAAATGCTTAGGGCAGGGAGGGTAGCGGGCTTTTCTAATTTTTTGGCTTTTCTTTTCCCGCTTGTAACTAAGGAACGCGCGTTCATTAAAATTATAAAGCGACACATATAGAGGGCGCGCATTTAAGGTACAACGCCCTCCGTGTTTTTAATTTTTTTTTCTTCTGACACTAATTTAAAGGCACGCAATAATGCGTGACCTAAATCCTTAAATTTTCTGAAGAGATGACACTTTTTTAATGTCAGTCTCGTTTGCGTAACATAAATTAATGAGTGTCGTAATTTGCGCGTTGTAAAAGGCTATTTTTCTAGTAGTGCAGAAACAGACCATTCTGTCGTACGCTCTTCATTTTTACTAACTACTTTTTCAGCCCACTCGGTTAGCACTGTTGAACGTTTCCCTGTAAAGAATATATATATATATATATATATATATATATATATATATATATATATATATATATATATATATATATATATGGTTAAGTTCAAATGAGAACAGTATTTAATGTGAGAACGTGAGAATACTACTTTATGTTACTCTACCATGAATTTAGTATGTATAGTATTATAGTAATCATAATATTAATATATTCAATTTTATATTGCTATTTATTAAATTCTAATGTAAATGTTAAATATGTGATTGTTCATATATTCGGAGATGAATAATATCATATCGTTGTATATACAAAATCCATAGTAGAATAGTAACATAAAGTAGTGTTCTCATTTTCTCACATTAAATAGTGTTCTCATTTGAACTTAACCCTATATATATATATATATATATATATATATATATATATATATATATATATAATTAACTTATTATTCGAGATAATTAAATTCCAAATTAAATTCATACCTCTATCGATGCGATGCTTGTTACACCATTCCTGTGAAAGACGACGGAAGAACTCAAGAATTCTGCACTGTTCGAGGTCATGTAATCGTATCGTTTCGACGGGGAATATGCTCTAGTCCATTTAGCACGTGGAATTTCACTTAGATACGCTGCGACTTGCGGCTTAGTAGAACTAAATCTGGACCACAATTCTTCAAAAATATTTCTTTTGTAAACTTTCACAAGCCTCCAAAACAACACTTTTGTTTTATCATTTTTCCCAAACATGTGTACTATGTTTCCTAGTAGATGAAAAGCACACACGCCATGATGAGCATAAGGGAAAACATTTTCAATACTAACCTGAATTGCATCGACCATATCAGTTACAAAAGTCAATTCTTGACAATCACCAATACATTCATACAACTTTTCAAGAAACCATGTCCAAGTAAGACCACTCTCTTTTTTGCATATTCTGTGCGCAAGGGGCACTATCTGGTTGTTCCCATCCATAGCTACTGCATGCAATATGGTTCCCTTAAAATCACCCTTCAAATGGGCACCATCCATAATTATAACTTTACGACAAAAACGTTTGAACGCTCGTATTTACAATCTATTAAAATGGAACACATAAACACTCTACAATTTTTTACAAATAATTATATATTAAATAACAACAAGATTTTTGTATTTATCGTGCTCCTAATGGCATAAAAACAAGACTCAAAACAATCTTCAGAATCTGTTTGTATATAGGCCACTGTACCGGGATTATGCCTCTTCAAATTGTGAAAATAAATAGGAAGTTTGGAAAAACATTCTTCAGAGGATCCCAACAACAATTCCATAGCATATTGTTTTGTACACCAAGCTTGTTTGTAATTTACATTGATTTCCAGCAAAGCATTCAAATCCCTTGATATTTCATTAGGCCTCCAAACCTTGGAAGGTGTTTTTCCTATAATCTCATGCAATATAGTACCCATGACTTTTTTTTAGCATGCTTATGATTAAGGTGTATATGTAATGACGAACATGTGTGCACGTTGTGGAAAGTCCTGATTTCAAATTCATCAGTGAGATCAATGCGTTTTGCATATAAACGCGAACCACAGTTCTCAATTTCACAATATACCTCATAATGATTTTTGTTAGAATGTTTGGTCTTAAACTGAAACTTTTCTCTGGTTGCTTAAGACTCAAAGAAAATATTAGTTGTTGTTTGTTATCATACATTTGGCGAACAAACATATCATCATTTGGACCTAAACTGTGAAATGGTCCGGGTTCAACAATAGGATCAGGACAATCAGGCATTGGAGGCATATCGTAAAATATGTATGAAGCTTTTTTCCCGTGTGTGAACTCATCTTCTGATTAGCCTTCATTTGACTCTTCACCGTCTAACAAAGTTTTGTCGGCCCGTCTTCCATACTCATATAAATTTTCCTCTTCCATTGTATTCACGACCACAGTTTCTTCTTGTGGACACTCTTCAACATTATCAGATACAATGTTTTCAACATTGTATGGTACAATCTTGTCAACTGCTTGTGTCTATTTGACCCATCCCTCAAACACCTCCAAATACAAATGCACAATATCCTTCTTTTCAGAAATTACATTTCTGAGTTGATGAACATCTGCTTTGTCTACAATATTCATAACATACCCATGAACCGGGTGTTTAAATGACAATGATATACTAGTATTGAAAACATTAGCCTTACTTTTGACCAAATCAAACAGTATTCGACGATCAAAATTTGGCGGAAGCAGTATACCTAAGTTATTAAACTTAGGTTTAACATATGTGTTAACCCCATTACTTATCTGCCAAAAACTCACAGTACATAAACAACTTAGGTCTAACATAGGTGTTAACCCCATTACTTATCTGTCAAAAACTACAGTACATAAAATAACAAAACTCATAATTTTTTTGAAAAAAAAACAGTAACACTAAACAAATTTGAACGCAAATGGAGATAAAAAAAAAAAATGAAAACACAACTTTATATCAAAAAACTGCGCAAATACGTTGCAACCACTCACTCCGCGGAGACATTAATCTCTCTGCGGAGCTCCTCATCGCCGGAGGTATTTAAGTCTTGCCAACCAACTCACTCCGTGGAGGGGTTAATGTCTCCGCAAAGGACCCCCGCGGAACAATTATTTAAACAATAAAAAAGATAACTTTTCAGAATCCGCGGACGTGACATCCCTTCGCGGAGGTCCGCAGAGGGTTTTCCGCGGAATGCATATCTATAGCCGGAAAAATCATTTTTTATGATTAAATTTTGAAATTGACCTCCATTTTTTGTCTATTGGCGATATTTTCCATAAAAAATTTCTAAAATGGTCCTTGCATGCTAAATTTTAATCGATACGATCATCACTATTAGAAGTAATATAGTTAAAGTACATTGCTCTTAAAACCATTTTATATAAACTACATTGCTATTAAAATCATCTTAAATTAAAATAATACAGATTTAATGTATATTGATTAAAAATCTGGATTTTTAATGTTTTTAAATGAAAATTAAATACTTTTCATTAGTTAGAATATGAAAAAAAAAAAAAAAAAAAAAAAAAGAGGAGAGCAATCAATCATTAAAGGATTATCGACTATTTAAATGGAATACATGCATTAACTTATTTGAAATTTAAACTTTAATACATAACTAAAAAAATATTCAGATTCTAAAAAGTTGGATCTTAATCAATCAATAAATAAAAGGATTATCTACTATTAAACTGAATATGTTAGTTAACTTATTTGAAATTTAAAATTTAATAGGTAATTTTTTGATTTAAACAGAATATAATGTAAAATTTTAAAATTAAAAAAACTAAATTAATAGAATACACTATTATTAATTATTAGAAAAATAACTAATTTAAATTAATAAAAAATTAAATGTATGTTGTCTAAAAACTGGATTTTTAAATGCATCCGAATGCTTTCCTTAGTCATTTGAATATGAAAAACAAAAAAAAAAAAAAAAAAAAAAAAAAAAAAAAAAAAAAGATTCTTAAAAATTGGAGAAAAATCAATAGAAGGATTATCGATTATTTAAATGGAATATATCAATTGATTTATTTAATATTTAAAATTAATAGATGATTAAAATAATAGATCAGAAAAAGTGGGATCCTGTCAATCTATATAAGGATTATCGGCTACTTAAATATAATATCAATTATTTTATTTTAAAATTTAAGTTTAATAGATAATTTGTTGTTTTAAAAAGATTTCTTTCTTTCAATTTATTAGAATTTTAACTGAATTAATAGAGTACATTATTATAGATTATTATATAATTTCCTTAAATTGAAATAATACAAAATTTAATGTATATTGACAAAAAATTAGGATATTTATTGGTTTTTAAATGAAAAACGAATTCTTGTTTAGTCATTTGAACATGGAAAAAAATATATCTAAAAAATGGATCCTAATCCATCACTAATAGGATTATCGACAATTTAAATGGAATATTTCAATTAAATAATTTAAAATTGAAAATTTAATGGATAATTTAGTGATTTAGAAGGAATATTATTTAAATTTTAAAAATTTAAAATTTTTATAAACTGAAATAATAAGGTACATTGTTTTAGATTATTGGATAATTTCCTTAATTAAAATAATATAAACTTATGTATATTCACTAAAATTCCATATTTTTCATAATTTTTAAATGAAAATAGACTGCTTTATTTACTCATTTAAATGTGGAAAAATGAAATCCTTAAAAATACGACTCTAATCAATCAATAGAAAGCTTATCAACTATTTAAATGGAATATATCAGTTAAATTATTTGAAATATGAAATTTCAAATTTAATAGAATTTTTCTTATTTAAAGGGAATATTATTTAAATTATTAAAATTTTAAAAAACTGAATTAATAAAGTACATTGTTATTGATTATTGATAATTCCTTAATTTAAAATAATACACGTTTCATGTATATTGACTAACATTCTAGATTTTAATGATTTTTTAATGAATCAAATGTTTTTTTTTAGTTATTTGAATATGAAATAAATAGATCTTAAACAAATATAATCTTAATCAACACTAGAAGGTTTAAGGGCTATTTAAAAAGAAATATATTAATTAATTCATTTTAAATTTGAAATTTAATAGATAATTTGCTTATTTAAAAGGAATATCTTTTAATTTTTTTTTAATAGAATACATTTCTATTGATCATTACGGGAATAACTTTTTAGTTTGTTCATATCTGTATAACTATCTTTTTTTGTACATATCTAGATAACAAACTTTTTGAAACTGTTCACGTATGACCATTATGACCAGCTGTAGCAGGTTACATCCGGTCATAAACGGTCACATGTGAACACTTCCAAAAAGTTCATTACCTAGACGTGTACAAAAAAAGATAGTTACTCAGATGTGAACAAACCGAAAAGGTAATAGTAAATTACACGAATGGTCCCTGTGGTTTGGGTAATTTTTGCGTTTGGTCCCTAACTTATTTTTTAACTCGGATGATATCGACGGTTTATTTTGGTGTGCGTTCGGTCCATGTCTTACCTCAAAAGATTATTATGTTATTTTTAATTTATTTTTTAATTAATATTCTTATTTATATATTTATTTTTTATATATTTAAAAAAACTAATAAACCCTACATATCTATATCTCATCACCCTAAACTTGAAACCACATTTGAAAATTTTAAGTTGGGTCCCACCAGTCACCAACGCATCTCTCATCCTCATCAACATATATTTCATTCATTTTCATCTTTATTGACATCAACGTCTTCACAATCCCTTCTTTTTTCGGTCCTTCAACTCCTGTGAACTAACACCATGACCCTTCTATTGGGTTGTGGTGGTGGAAATTTCAATGAAGGGACAGTGGGTTGTGGGTGAGGAGAAACAAATACGTGAGGTCTATTAAACCATATAACATTCGCTTCTCCAAACCTAAGTGTGAGGAAACTTTTCAAGTCCATATTTCATGGGGTGTCTACAAACCTACTTAGGTGGTTACAAGGTTCAAAACATGTTCTACTATTTCAAGTGTATATTCCCTAAAAATGTAATTGGTAGCAAAGCACAAATCATCATAGATCAAACCATATAGCATTCGATTATCCTTTTAGAAACACAATTACATATGGTGTCCTTGGAGAAGCCAATTTTAGAAACCATTCTACAATCTCAAAAATGCTCAAAGAACTCAATACTAAGGCATTCTTATTTCGTTTTGGATCGGAAACCCTCATATCAATTCATTCCCTACTTTGTTCTGATACTCTTGATCTATTCAAAGTGTCAGACTTATGCTTAATCATATAAACATAATCACATCTACTGAAATTGTTAGTAAATATGATGTAGTAGTGTTTGTCATCCCTTGTAGCAGATCTGAAGGGTCCACACATACTAGTGTGTACAAGTCTGAATAATCATTTACCTCCATTACATTTCCATGCGAATGGTGATTAACTCATCTTGCCAACAAACAGGACTCGCATACATCATCCGACCCAAAGTTGAATGATTCCAAGTTCGATCCAGTTGGAGCTTGGTGATGCGATTCTTATATAAGTGGCTAAGGTGATTATGCTACAAGAGCGTTCTTATCTAAACTATTAGAGGATTTAATATTTAAGTTAACATTTCTATTATTAGAAACACAAACTACAATTTCATGAATGCTAATTTCAAGAAGATGTTTTATACATAAAACCATCATCTTTATAAACTAGAACGTCGCATTTCCATTAGTATATAAAAATTGAAAATCATGTTTATACAATGCATAAAATGAAATTAGGTTTCTAAACATTTTTGAAGAGTGATGGAAAATAACTCGATCTTTTTTAACTCCATTAGTAAGCACAAGATCATAATTCATAATCATCAAGACATGTGACACACATCATATCCAATGATTAGGTTTAGCTCTCAATTCTCAAAAAATTCTTTCTTTCCTATAGATCCTTCAATGTCGTATAAAATTGATTACCACATCCTGCATCAAGTACCTGATGTACAGTCAAACATTTGACTTTACCATCTTCAGGATTTATCAAGTACTTAGGGAAAATTCGTTTTCAATGATCGTCTTCATTGCATTAATTGCAACTTGCCTTTTTGAATTAAGGTGAATAGAGAACAAAACAATTCAATTCCCACATAATGGAAATCCGAGGCCGAAACCATTCCTTTCCATTTAGGATTCAATTGTTTTATCTTCTTTCCGCTAACATTCAGAAAGACAATAACTAGAACTGGATAAGAAATTTAATTCCTTTATGGTTTCCATAGTTTGGAG